TAACAAGGAAGAAGTGAAAGGAAAAGGAATTATGGGTTGCCTTTTCCTTCTGTCATTATTTTCAGCGTAAGTGGTTGGCTAATACCGAGAAATAACTGGAGTAAGAAAAGGTGTGATAAGGTTCCTTGCTCTTTGTGTTCTTTAGAATGTCATTGCCTTCTGTGTGTGTTGCTAAGCCAAGTTCTGGTTCAAACAAAGAGTGTGGCTCTAGGGGCTGTCAGCGTCCCTGTTTACTCAGTCATAGATGCAACCTGCTTACCTATACTAGCTCTGAGTCTCATCGGACGCCCACACATCATGGATCCGATGGAATTTTGTGCTCATGGGGCATCTTGAACACTACACGTGAATAGAGTGGCAAGAAATAGCAGGCACATCGCACGTATCTCCCCTGCTCACATGCATGCTCCAGTGTTCCATCAGACTTCACTTACAAAACAAGTTCAAAGATAAGATTGTTAAGAATTTCAAGATGGCGGCCGCAGAGCATTAAACTAGGCGAGGGGCCTTCTTAGAGCAGGGGCCCTGTGCAACCAACTGGACCGGTTGTGCATCCATGAAGCTGGCCCCGCCTGCCACATATATCTTTGGACCAAGCACCTCAAATTCCTTGCTGGTTGTGGAGAGACTGCACATTGTCACCTAATATCTCTTCTCTCCTTCTTCCTTGGTAACAGAACCCCAATTTTATTTGGGGTTGTAAGATGCTCTGCTAAAAACTACATTTTCTAGCATCTTCTGCAGCTACTATAGCCATGTGACTAAGTTTTGGTTAATCAGATGCATGCAGAAGTGTTGTATGGGATATTGGGGATAGCAGCCTCATTCTCCCTTCCAGCTGCTTAGAATAGAGTTGTGATAGCTAGAACTCCAGCAGTCATGGTGGAAAATGAGTTGACCTTGAAGATGGAACTTAGGTTCTTGAATGAAGCAGAGAGAAGGTGCTTGAGTCTCGGAGAGACTTCATGGAGAACCATGAAGCTGCCACACAAGCCCTTGGCTGCTCACCTCAGGACTTTCTGTGTTTGGGAGAAATAAACTTGTATCTTGTTAAACCATTATTATTTGACAGTTTTATTACATGCAGATGAAACTAATCTAACTTACAGGGAAAGCTCCACTAGTCCACATGGGTTAACAGATTAAGTTAGACAATGTTTTCTGTACAAATCTTGGACAGTCCTCAATTTATCATTGGGCTCCATCTTTAGAAGCCCCTGGCTTGAGTGGCAACCATTTCTAGGCTTCAGAGGCACCTTTCTTCTTTCTTCCCAGTTCAGGACTATGTTCTGGAGCTCCGAGAGTGCTAGTAGACCCCAGATGAATGCGGTGTTAAAATGCAGTGTATTATAAGGGCAATGAGGTAGTAGTAAGATAATAATGTGTGCGTGTAGCATTTTATATTTTTCCAAGTGATTTAAATACCAATATCTTTTAATGAGCATGGGAAAGAAAATCATTAAAATTCTTATGGGTAATTATGGAAAAGAGATGTGAGCGATTCATCTGCCAACCATAAAAATTAGGTCAAGTTGTTTCATGGAGTAAAGAGATCAGGTTGACTAATACTGCCATCTAGAGTTAAAATTCAAAACTGCCACTTCTTATCTATGAGGACACTGAAAGGTCAGGGTTTGCATAGGTCAGATTTTTCTCCCACTGACTTGTGCTGGCTATCCTAATTGTCTTGTCCATTTGTGAAGAACCACTGGATGACATTCACCAGGGAGCCACCTGGAGGTAACTGGGATGGCAGTTGGAGTGCAATCATAAATGAAGCTAGTATATAGAATGCCTTCCATTTTCCATTTGTCCAGTCTGAGGGCTGTCCTGGCTAAGGATCACAGAGAATGGGCTTTGAACTCAGAAGCACAGGGGTTAAAGCAGAAGCGAGTGTAGGAAGAAGATGGCAGAGGAAAGCAATGGACTTGCCACACCCCTACCTCTTCTCAGATGTCCTTCCAGCTGATCCTCAAGGATTGACCTCAGGCCTCTTTCCCCTTCTCATAACTGGTTTATTCCATCTGTCCTCAGCCCCGTGTGCTCCAAGATGATCTTTTGTTAGCTCATCCTCTTTCTCACCCCCTCTCTAATCTCACTTTGAGTCAGTGCTGTTTGGTGGAAAGAGGGAAGAGAAAGGAGACATGGTTTGAATCTGGGGTCCCCCATTTACCTTACTATTTATCCCGTTTATCTTACTATTTACCTGAGCAAGTCACTAAAATTTTTTGAGGCTCAAGTTATTCACATCTGTATTGGGGTACATAATACGGATGGGCATATAATGGGGTGGTTGCAAAGCTTAAATGAGGAAATATATTGTGAGAGAAATTGGCATGTGGTAGGTAGTTAGGAAATTTTATTTTCTTTCCCTTTGTTCATTTTCCTGTGCTCTATAAATCACTGTTTAGGGAAAAATTAGTAAAAAACAAAAAATAGACTATTGGTATGAAATATAAGGTATAAATAATCTTCAAAGTTTGATTTTTAAGATATGATGACAGTCGATTTAAATTGACTTTCTGGTTTTTACCTGGGTGTTCTCTGAGAAAGGGAAGCGCATTAAACATGGTTGTGTAGTGGAAAGAAAAACCATGGGCTAGTCCACTTACTCATCTGTAATTAGAGACAAATCACTTTCACCTCTCTGAGCCTAAGTTCTTCATCTGAGATAGGGACAGCATTCTCTCTCGTGCCTACTCACCCTGTGCTTATGAGGACACCTGAAGTAGAATAGCTGGAAGGAGTTTGTAAAGTCTAAAGTAAATACTAATGTGAGTAATAATTATCATCTTTTGTTTGCTCCATGTTATACACATAGTGGACGTTCAGTAAAGATATTTTTAAAAATTAACCATGAATTTTACCTAATTAATTTCCCTGATAGTCACTGAGAGCTAGCCACTATATTTAGCATGTATTGTGTAACACTTGGCTAGGCTTTGGTGGGGCTACAAAGACGATTAACATCCCTCACAGAGTTGGTTGGGCAAAGATGGAATTAATATAGCAGTACAGAGTGAAATTAGTGTCACGTCATGGAGTGTGTGCGTGCTAAGGACATCCTTTGTTGTGGGAGCCCAGAAAGGAGTAACTGATGTTGTAGAGTCCAAGAAGCGTGTCACAGAGATGAGGCATTTGAGACATACGTATTTTCGTAAACAGAAATGGGGACAAGAAAATTCCAGGCGGAAGATACAGAATGAACAAAGACGTGGATTTGGAAAAAAGCAAGTAGGAAAAGGCAAGTTGTTCGTTGTGACAGTGGTCCCAGTGTGTGTGTGTGCGTGTGTGCATGCACGTGTGTGTATGATGTCTATAATTGTTGGCGAAATGCAGCTGGAAAGGTCAGTTACAAACAGATAATGGAAGGCCTTAAGTTTTTTCTGTAGCAATAGGCCTACAACCATTAAAAAAGGTAAGTGATATGATCAGAAGTGTGTTTTCTGCAGATAACTCTTAGGAGAACATAAAAGATCCATTAGAGATGCCCGATATTAGAGATACAGACACGTGGGATGTTACTGCAAAAGTCCTGAACTAGGATAGGGGCAGTGGAGATATAAAACGGATGGAAAATGAGATGTTGCTGATATGAGCCTGCATCCTTCAGCAACTCACTGGTTAGGGGAGGATTTTGCAGTGAGGAGGGAATATAAGATGAATTGTCTTCTCCTTCATTGATTTTATTCCTGAGCTCACTGAACTGCCTTTCTGAGTCTTCTTGTAGCTCGTTGAGTTCCTTCATGACAGCTATTTTGAATTCTTTATCAGTTAGATCACAATCTTCCATGACTTTATGTTTGGTTTCTGAAGAACTGTTATTTTCTTTTTGTGATGGCACGTTACCGTGGCTTTTTGTGGTGCTTGCTGAGTTCTTCCTCTGCTGGCGCATTTGTCATAGCGAACTCTTTTCTTATTTAGGTATAGCTTTATTTTGATTCAAACTTTTCCATCAATTGGAGATTAGAGGCCTTTCTTTTGTTTTTCGGTAGGTGGCGCTAGAGCGCTAGTTTTTGGTTTCTCTCACCTGAGCTGTCTCTGCACATTCCACCCTCCATGGCCTCTATTCAGGGTGTCTCTGCCTGCACCCTTGGGGGTCACTGATGCCTTACTGTTGCTGGTGTTGCTGCAGGCGGCAGCTTCGCAGCCACCGGGGAATAAAGGCAGGGATGGCTGATGCCTCCACCATGTCAGGGATCACCTTGGTCAGAAGCTCTGCCGCGCAGGGTGAGGCGGTGTTTGAAGGGAATGAGGGGAGGATGAGGAGAGGGAGGGAGATGGGTTCGAGCGGCAATGCCTCTGTTGTTGCCTGTTGCCTTATGGCTGCAGACGCCGCTGGAGTTGGGGTGTCGGGGTCCTGTACCCGCCTCCGCTCTGCTCCCATCTTTGGGATCACGGGGCTCCGCCTCCGCTGCTCCGATTCTCGTGGCCATAGGTGCCAGCGTGGCTGACTGGCCGGAGTTCTCTGAGGCTGGGGACGCCTGGCTCAGCCGCTGCTGCCGGGGATCCAGGGTCCTGGGCTCTGCCTCTGCTGTTCCCCCATTTAGGCCTTCTATACCTTCTCCAATCCACCCACCTTTGCATGCACAGATGTGTGCATCTCCCTGGTCCTGGTCTGTTGCGCAATGTGGGCTTTGTTGGGTTATGGATATTTTACTCACTGTAGATTGAACGGGAGAGACAAAGGAATCCTCTCAGGCCATCATGATGATGATGTCTGCAAGCTGGGATTTTCTAGATGGAATGGTTGTGAGGATGTGACATTAACCCCTCTAGGGGGCACGAGAGATGAGATCCGGGACTAAAGAGTGTTATAGTGGAAATTAAATAGGCTTTCCAGTCAAACTGACCAGTGTTAATTCATGTAACTTAAGGCAAGTCACCAAAACTCTCTGAGCTTTGACTCTTACCCACAAAACGGGAATGATAATAATACTTAGTTTACATGATTGATGCAGAGGATACTCCTGGGCATCCATCCCCCACTTCTTCCAGCAATGTGCCCAGCGTTCATCTTGGAATCTGCTACCCCTCACTCTGAGAACCTGCGCTTGGGTGAGATTCCATCCCCACCTCACAGGCAGTTCTGCCAGGCGATTGACTCCATCTCCGGGAATCCACAGCGACTGGCTCAGGGGTGGACATGAGACCCAAATCGGGTCATTGAGAGCACCACGACTAAACTACAGGACTTTTGTTTGTGAGCAGATTCCCCACAGGCTGTGAAGCTTGAGAGCTGGACAAAAAGTTTAGGGCTGCTGTAACCCTCTTGCCATCTCAGAGGAGATTCTGGAACTGCGGAGTACACCGCGTGGAGCCTGAAGATGAAGCCCGCACAGCCAGAGGCGGAGTGAAGAGATACAGAGAAATGGAGTCATTAGGACACTGTCGAAGTCCTTGTGGACAGCAGTTCCTGAAATCAGCCATGCCGACGCACCTCAGTGATGTGACCGTCAGAAGAGGCTACCTTATGCTCTCTGTGCAATAACAAACACCCTCCAAAAGCTCAGGGGCTTACGACAACAAAGACTTATTTCTCACTTATGCTACATAGACCCGCCGCCACTCTGCTAGACTGTTGTCTTTAATCTGGCACCCAGGATGAGGGAGCAATCTCTGTCTGGAAAATCACCAGTTGTTGTAATAGAGGAAAAGGAGAGCAGGGAAAATTAGTGCTGGCTCTTAAACCGTCTGCCGGGAAGATGCTCCTGCTCGCATGGCATCTGCCAGAACAAATTCACGTGCTCAGCTTGATGCCAAACGGTGGAGAGGGGCAACAGATATTTTTGAATAATAATAATGCACTCTACCAGTAAATTTCCCTTTTGCTTAAGTGAGTTTAGGTCATATTTTCTGTTACTTGCAACCAAGACAATCTTTATGGAGAAAGCTGATGAAAGAATTAAATTAGAGGGCCAGCCAGGTGGCGCAAGCAGTTAAGTGCACGTGCTCCACTGTGGCGGCCTGGGGTTCGCCGGTTCGGATCCCGGATGCATACCGACGCACCGCCTGGCAAGCCATGCTGTGGCAGCGTCCCATATAAAGTGGAGGAAGATGGGCACGGATGTTAGCCCAGGGCCAGTTTTCCTCAGCAAAAGGAAAAAAAAGGGGAGGATTGGCAGATGTTAGCACAGGGCTGATCTCCTCACAAAAAAAAAAAAAAAAGAATTAAATTAGACATTTTATATAAAATAGTCAACACATGGTAAACATTCAATAAATGGGAGCTACTGTTTCCAAGTGCGTGAACACAGATGAACTGAGATTATATCTTTCTCAAGCAATAAAAGTATGCTCAATTTCTTTAATTTACATTTTATTCACTTATCTCACTAACCTTTATTGAGTTCTTTTTATGTGGCAGACACTGTGTTAGGTGGTGGGGACGCAAACTGAGAACAATACATTTACATTTTAGTTCTCTAGTAGATTTTTTTTTTAAAGAAATGACTTAATATGAGGGCTCAGTGTCTTAGGCTGATAATATCAAACTCTACAGTTTGTGCCCAAGGAAAGTAATAAACATTTAGGAAATTACTATCCAGAAAATGGTTATATATGGTACATAGTGAAATGGAACCAGAAGTAGGAATGCTATTCATTTCCTCACCACTCATCAACCCATTTGTCCAGGACATACTCATCAGCATCTTGTGCTGGCATTCTTGTGAGAGAAAAACAAGCAATATTTATTCTCACCTTTAGAGAACTTAAAATGTAGTAGTAAAGAGAAGTGAGCTGAGTATACAAATGGATGCTATAATAATAAAAATAAAACAGTAATGGTGATGATGGCTAACTGTCCAAGTCAGCAATGACCCCCATTTTGCCAAACCTAAAGATTAACACTCAATCCTTATCTTGCTGGACAAGCGATTGACAGAGTTGATCATTCCCTTACTCTTCACTCGCTTCGCGCACACCATCCCCCCTGGTTTTCCTGCCAGGATCAGGCCTCTGCTCGGTGCCAGCTACACTCACCCCATCGGTCATCTCACGCAGCCATTGGGCTTTCAGTATCATCTCTACGCTGATGACTCCCAATTTTGTGACTCCACTCCAACTTCTCTCCACAACTCCAAAATGGTTGATCTCATCGCCTCCTCTCATAACAAGTGAGGGGGAGCAGAATATGCCACCCCAAAAATGCCACTTTGACATGTGGGTTATTTCCAGCTGAAGAGAATCAAGGCCCAAAAGACTCAGGAAAAGCTGTTTACTTTCCCCTAAACCACCTAAAAGAGTTTAGATAGAGGGCCTGTACCAGGACCAGAGCCAATACCAAAGATAACTTTTCCTATCAGACAGACTTCTCTGCATAGCAGGGCAAACATTTGTTTACCAAACATCTGCTCTTCTCATCTTCCTGTGATCTGTCTTCCTCCCCTTTTGAAGCCCCAGACCCCTACCCCTTCTCCTTAGCTCAGGATGGCATATAAGCCTCAATTGCCTGACTGTCTTTGGGTCCCATGTCTTGTCTTTGGGTCTCATGTCTTTGGGTCTCTGGTACGTACAAAATTTATTTTTCTCCTGTTAATTGTTTTATGTCAATTTAATTATTAGACCAGCCAAAGAACCTAGAAAGGAAGAGGGAGAAGTTTTCCACCCCTACACAAGCATCTCACGGTTATTACCAGACTGGACTCCCAAACACCAACCCCAAACTGGCACCTCCCTCAGGGTGCCCATCCCAGTAAAGGGTACCACCATTCACCCCATTGCTCAGGCCAACCTTGGAGTAATCCTAATCCCTTTCCTTCCTTCCTCCCACTTCCAATCCATGAGCAACTCTGTGGACTCTGACTTTCAAAACATCTTGAATGTGATCATTTCTTCTCTCCTCCCCTCTACAATATCACCTTAGTCCCAGCATCATCCTTCTGACCTGGACTCCTATAGCAGCCTCTCCTAACTGGCTTTTCTGCTTCCATTTTTGTTCTATTATTTTCTACACACCAGCCAGAATGATTCTCTTAAAACTAAAGTCAGATCGTGTCACTTCTGTGTTCAAAACCTTCCAATGGCTCCCCTTCACCCCCTACCCTTAGAGATGAGCATGACTCATTCCCTCATTTCCCCTGTCCCCTTGCCCTCTTCTCAAATGTCACTTCATCAGAGACATCTTCCCTGAAATCTTATCAAAAAATACTAGTTCCTGGGCAGCTTTGTGGCATAGTGGTTAAGTCTGGGGCCCTCTGCTGCTGGCCCGGGGTTCCGGGGTGCAGGCGCAGACCTACACCACTCATCAGCCATGCTGTGGCTGTGACCCACATAGAAAATAGAGGAACACTGGCACAGATGTTAACTCAGAGCGAATCTTCCTCACCAAACACAAATAAATTAATTAAAATTTAAAAATACTAGTTCCTTCTGCCCCCAGCCTCTGTTCCTCTACTGTTCTTTCTTCATGTTGCCACATGACATTATACTAAGTATTTATTCATCCGTTTAAAAACAGGAGAATGTAAGCACCATGAGGATTTTGCATTTCCAGTGCCCAGAACAGTCTAGAGGAGGGTAGGCACTCAGATGTTTTTATTAAGCAATCTAGGCATTATTCTAACACATTATGGTTTATCTATTAAATTATCCTAACATGTTAGATTTGCTATGGACATTGCATGGACGTGGTAGCTGAGGCACAGAATCGTTAGGTAAGTTGCCCAAAGTCACAAAGCTCGTAGGTTAGGTGGCTTAGCTAGAATGTAAATCCAGGCGCTCTTCCTTAGGAGTGCCCCTCTGCTCCTCAGACTTGGCGCTCACGTTTGATCCCCAAAAGCCATTCGCGGGGAGACGTCAGGATGACGTAGCGTGCCGGGGCCGCGCTGCCGGTTCGAGCTGGACGGCGGGAGGAAACCGGAGCGGGGCTGACCCATCCAGCCTCCGGGTTTCCCGGAAATCAGCGCACGCCTGTCACTAGCCTCTGGGAGCCGGGCGGGACGGAGCGGACAGACGCGGGGCAGGCGGCCGGCGCGCG